ATTTATTTATCTATCATATATTTTTTAACACACTCATGTCCAATTATTTATTGAACATCTACTGTTCAAGATTTTGAAGACTAAATATACTCCTGGCCTTCCCTGTTTGTGCAAAACAGGTGGTTGATGCTTTCAATATCTAGTTATTGCCTAAACTATGAAATTTATTCATTATAACAATAAAATTTTAACCTCAAAGTCTTGTAGGACAGTAAGTATAATAAAAAATAGAAATTATATTCCTAATTCCTACTAGTTGACAGTTTGAAAGGCCTTACAGAATGGCTTAGGAACATAACCATAATTTAAATAGCTTTTAATATAATATTTTATTAATTCTTTGAGAATTACTGCAATATATTTTGATCATATTCAACTTCCACTACTCCCCTTAACTCCTACCAGATTCACACCCCTACTCCCTTCAACTCCTTCTTGTTTCTCTCTAAATATAACCCATCAAGTCCAATCTCTGTTGCCCACATACTCCTGGTGTGGGGCCATCCACTCGAGCGTGTCAGCCTACTGGAGGCCATACCCTTAAAGAAAAATGGTTTTTTTCCCCTTTCCCAGCTGTCAATAGCTCCTCAGCTGGGGATGAGGACCTATGAGTCCCTCTCCATTCTTTGCTGGAATATTGACTGATCTTGTGAGGATGTCATGTGGGTTTGCACAGATGTGAGGATGTTGTGCAAGGATGCACGGCTGTGCAGATGTTATGAGGAAATGCACAGTTGTGCAGATGTCATGCAGGAATGCACAGCTGTGTGGATGTCATGTGGGGATGCACAGATGTGTGGATGTCATGCAGGGGTGCACAGCTGTGTGGATGTCATGCAGGGATGAACAGCTGTGCAGATGTTATAAGGAAATGCACAGGTGTGCAGATGTCATTCAGGGATTCACAGCTGTGTGGATGTCGTCCAGGGATGCACAGGTGTGCAGATGTCATGCAGAGATGCACAGTTGTTTGGATGTCATGCGGAAATGCACAGATGTGTGGATGTCATGCAGGTATGGACAGATGTGTGGATGTTGTACGGGAATGCACAGATGTGTGGATGCCATGCAGGTATGCGCAGTTGTGCAGATGCCATGTATGGATGCACAGCTATGTGGATGTTGTGCGGGGATGAAAGCACTGGTCCTGGTATATCTGTATGATGCTGTTTTCCCCCAGTCTTCCCAGACTCCTGGCTCCTTCGATCTTTCTGCCCTTCTCTTTTACATTAGTCCCAGAACCTCAGAGGGGGTGATATAGAAGTCCCATTTGTGTTGTTTTGGGGGTCTCCAGGATACCTCTGACCAACAACGTGGGTGGAGGTACCCTATATCTGGCACTGGGTTTTTTATTTGGCAAACTATAATTCCTGGGAGGAGCATTATGCCCCTGCATAGTGTAAATCCAATTAAACTTTCTCTTTTATATATAAAATATGAATTGTATCTTTATAGAAGAGAAATTCTTCAGTAATGGCCAGCAAAATCAAACAATTTAAAAAAAAATCTCCCCTTAAATTGTGAGATGTATTTTCTTAAAAGCTGCAAACTGTAACTTTTGTTTGTCTGACTCATCCCTGGGTGGTTTGAGTTTCTGGCAGGAAGCTTCGATGCCACACACAACTCCACTTAGCTCGTTTTTGTTGAGGTTGGAGGTTAATCTTCAACCCTTGTTCAGGTGCTTTAGTTGTAGAGGTGACCGTGCTTCCTCCTCAATATGCTTCATTACTAGGAGGAATGATATCCATAGCAACAGAGGCAGCATCCACGGGGCACTTCCCACGCACAGACTCTCGTGCCATGTATTCAACTCCCTTAAGTCTCTAAATATCTCTGTGGCACCGCTTATCATTTTTCTTTGACTTTTTCTCTCTTCCTTCCTCCCTCCTTCCTTCCTTCCTTCTATTCTTTCCTGGGGGGTGTTCTAGACATGGTTTCTCTGTTTAAAAGTCCTGGAATTCTCTGTGTAGCCCAGGCTGGCCTCAAGCTCACAGAGATCCATCTGCTTCTGCCTCCCATATGCTGGGATTAAAAGTATGTACCACCGCTATCTGGAAATTTCTTTTCTTTTCACCTTTTTAGTGTGTGTATATGTATGTGTGTGTGTAGCTGTGTGTGTGTATGTGTGTAGTGTGTGTATGTGTGTGTATGTGTGTGTGTAGTGTGTGTGTATGTGTGTGTGTGTAGTGTGTGTGTAGTGTGTGTGTGTAGTGTGTGTGTAGTGTGTGTGTAACTGTGTGTGTATGTGTGTAGTGTGTGTATGTGTGTGTAGTGTATGTGTGTAGTGTGTGTGTAGTGTGTGTGTGTAGTGTGTGTGTGTGTGTGTGTAACTGTGTGTTTGCATCTGTGCCATAGCATGCACGTGGAGGTCAGAGGACTCCGTTCAGGATTTGGTTTTCTCTTTCTCCCATGTGTGTTCCTGGGTTCATACTGAGTTGTCAGCCTTGGTAGCAAGCATATTTACACACTAAGTCCTCCCCCTGCCCATCATTTCCATTTGATAGATGAAGGAATTGAGAATTAGCATCCTCAAGCTGCTGGCCTGACTCACAGATCTAATTAGTGCTAGAGTGAGAATCTGACTCTGGAACTTGGTCAGTTTATTCATTATGTCAAGTCTCCATAACCAGGGGAAGAAGCTCCGCACAGGTGTCAAGTGACCACAGAGCCTCACCATATTGTTCATTCAGCGGGTGTGTCTTTCTCTGCACATGTCTCTGCGATGCAGAGGCCCCGGTCCGATAATACGTTTTCTGTGAGTGACAGTCTCATGATGCTTTGATACAAAGGGAGAAATAAGTTAGATGAGTAAACTCAATACTAATGAGTTACTATTTCCCATTGAGATGTGCAGCTAAATGGAAGTTAACATGGACTTGAGAGCTTTCTATGATTGATTCTGACCGAGGTGAGAGGCTAAAATCTTGATGAAGTAGAAACTTTAGCTATTCTCTAAGGGGTAAAGAAGAGTCCGGTATTTGAGATAAAGTTGTAGACGGCATTGCGAAGTCCTGATGCAGGAGGGAACCTGGCATGTTCAGAAACCGGAAAAAGAGACACTGTGGTAGGAGGCCATGGTGGGGGGAAGTGGCATGGGAAAGGGAGGGAGGGAGGGAGGGAGGGAGGGAGGGAGGGAGAGAGAGAGAGAGAGAGAGAGCGAGCGAGCGAGCACTTTTCATATCCTGCCTTCAAACACAGTTTGGGCTTGGGGCAGGGGCTGGGAAGGTACCCCATGCCTGGCACTGGGAGTTTGGACTGGGAGAGAATTAACAGAACGGATTTGTAATTTATGAAGTCCCTCTGCTGGCAGCGTGGAACACGAACCAGCAGGCATGTCAGCTTAAAGCAATAGTCAAAGTTAGGATTTGACTTCAGGTCAGACAGACTCAGTACAAGGCCTAGTTAGTCACCAGGTCATAGTGACTTATTTTTCCTTTTTGATGAAATATACCCAAGGAAAAGAGTGCAGACCCCAGCAGAAAGTGGTCAGGGTTAAATGAAGGAGCATTAGTAGAAGGCAGCCGTCCCCACTTGGAAGGAGGAAGCCCAGGCCTAGGAAAGATTGTTTACTATAATTATTGTTTTATCTGGATATTTTAGAGTAAGAGACAGAAAGGAGGAGAAGAACTGAAGGGAGCGAACAGTCCAGAGACAAAATGAACACTCGGATAATAAATGCCACCAGTCATGAGGAGGCCAGGTCTCGGGATGACCCGGCTGAAGGGACCCGGGCCCAGCAGTGAGATGGGGGTCTGGCATTATTGCTTCCAGTCCAGTGCCCTTGCTAAGACAACAGGAATCACCTTTACACTCTTGCTTCATATGCTAAGGGCCTAGACCAGGCTGTCCTTCAGCTTGGTAAACAGAATCCAGTTTGTATGCAGGATCATCAATTAAAAACCATCTTGTTTGTCATGTGGTATAGAAACTACGTTAGCAACGAGGGGAAAAAAACCCTCAATTTCACAATTAAAGAATAAAAATACTTATAATGCTGTTATTAGTGTGGATGAATTTCAAATCCTATTGGCCCACATGGAATCATAGATAATAACCAGGGAGGCCCGCTAGCAATTGAGATGCAGTGTTGAGGGCAAGGGGAGGGAAAGATATTGCAGAGGAGGGGAGGGGTGGGGGTGATGAGGTTTGAACACTAATGTTCTCAAGTGTGAGCTGTGTGTAGCTTTAAAAGGTGAGGCCAGATAGAAACTTCTCTTCAACAGTCTCTGTTACGTTTTAAAACACTTTCCTGTGATTTGTGCGTGAATGTTTGCCATTACTGGGTTAATACAGTTTGTTATTCTACTTAAAGTCGTTCTTGACTTAGCCACTGTGGTAGGTGCTGGAATGGGGGCACAAAGGAACCCCCAAAACCTCATAAAGATTCTACTTTCGTGTTACTTTTTCCTCCTCGTCCTCGTCATCCCCCTCCTCCTCCTTCTTCTTCTGAAATGTGCTTTTTACTTAAGATTTTAGTAAAAAAAAAATGTGTATAAAGACAGGCTTTGCAGTGTAGCCTATGATCCTGGCTCTTCAGGAGCCTACAGCAGAGGGATTGAAAGTTCATGCCTGACAAGTGCAGTGTGAGTTCAAGACCAGCACCAGCAACTTAGCAAGCGAGAATGAAGGAAAAGCTGGGGACAGAGGACAGAGGACAGGAGACAGTGGAGCCATGGGTAACTAGCATCCTAATCCTGTCCCCAGAGCCATGCACAGCAAACAACACCTGAAGCGCTTTTGAAACCATTAATGCGCTGTTTTAAAAAGAAAAGGCACAGTGGCAAATTTGGGGTTGGTCTCCACCATCCCTCAGACTCTACACCTCACGTTAAATTCTGGGTACTTAAAGGCAGATACTGTGTATAAAGCAAAGTGATTGGTGTGCCTTTCTATGGGCCAGTCTCAAGCAAGCGCATCTGGTTCCTATTTCACATGGAATACAGATGATATATGTTATCTGTAATTGCCCTTATTGACTCGGTTGCTCTTGTGTGTTCCAGGGCCGGCTTGATTCTCTTACAGAAGTGGATGACTCAGGGCAGCTAACTATCAAGTGTTCGCAGAATTACTTGTCTCTGGACTGTGGTATCACTGCGTTTGAACTGTCCGACTACAGTCCGAGTGAGGATCTCCTTGGTGGCCTGGGTGACATGACCTCTAGCCAGGCCAAAACGAAACCTTTTGACTCTTGGAGCTACAGCGAGATGGAAAAGGAGTTCCCGGAACTTATCCGAAGTGTTGGGTTGCTAACCGTGGCCGCTGACCCTGTCCCTTCCAGCTGTGAGGCAGCCAGTGAGGATGCACCTCAAGAGCCTCTTTCAGAAGAGAATAAAGGTGAGCAGGAGGAACACAGGGCTTCAACATCTGGAGAGCAGCCGGGCTCAACGTCAGGGATGCCGTCCTTAGACGCGCTGACAAACGTGGCGGAACACCCTTCCAAGACCACAAAGCAAAACCCCAGTTCCTCCCCACAGCTGGGTGCAAAGAAAACCCAGTCTGTTCCTTGTGAAATTATGACTCCCAAGAGATCCATCCGCGATTGCTTTAATTATAACGAGGACTCTCCCACACAGCCCACGCGGCCCAAAAGAGGGCTTTTCCTCAAAGAAACTGGCGTGAGTGAGCAGAAAGGCAGTGACGGCAAGAGGCAGCTGGTTGACCTGAATCCAGAGTTGAGCAGAAGCACCCCTTCCCTGGTGGACTCCCCTGACAGATCCAAACTCTGCTTAATATTACAGTCTTCCTACCCCAGCAGCCCTTCGGCTGCCAGCCAGTCCTATGAGTGCTTGCACAAGGTGGGGATTGGCAATCTTGAAAACATAGTCAGAAGTCATATTAAAGAAATTTCTTCCAGTTTGGGAAGGCTTACTGACTGCCATAAAGAGAAATCTCGACTGAAAAAACCACACAAGACCTTGGCAGAGGTGCCTCTGTGCCGAACCCCAAAACGAGGAACTGGTTCGGGAACGCAAGCCCAAACCACCAAGGGCTCGGCAGTGCCGAGCATGGTGCTTCCTGGGGCTCCCAAAGGCACGGTGAGACCAGAAACGGATTCTGCGTCAACATCCTCCTTCGAGCTGCCCCATCAGAGAAACTGGAGCCGGCTCCTGCCTGCGCAGTCGGAGCTCTCCAGCTCACCCCCTCGCAGCCATAGCAGTGAGTCCTCTGTTGGGTCCGACAGCAGCAGAGCTCCAGCTCCTCTTCTTTCAGAGAGTGAAAGCCAAAAAGATGGCTCCCCTGCTCCAAGTCACATCACCCAGAGCAGTCAGGAGGAGGAGGCCTGGTACGGCTCCGATGAATACCTAGCGCTACCATCCCACCTGAAACAGACAGAGGTGCTGGCCCTGAAGCTGGAATCTCTCACCAAGCTTTTGCCTCCCAAACCCAGAGAGACGGTCCAGAACATCGACGACTGGGAACTGTCCGAAATGAACTCTGACTCGGAAATCTATCCAACATACCACAGCAGGAGGAAGCACACAAGGCTAGGCAGGGTGTCCCCAAGCTCATCCAGTGACATAGCTTCTTCTCTTGGGGAGAGCATCGAATCCGGGCCCCTGAGTGACATTCTTTCTGACGAGGACCTATGCGTGCCCCTCTCCTGCATGAAAAAATACGCGGATGAGAAATCAGAGAGGCCTTCATCCTCCGAGAAGAACGAGAGCCATTCTGCTACAAAATCGGCTTTAATTCAGAAGCTCATGCAAGATATCCGACACCAAGACAACTATGAAGCCGTATGGGAAAGAATAGAGGTAAGCTTGGCTTTACTAGTGGTTTCTTGCCCGAGTTTCAGAAATAATGCCGGAGAGACTGCATTCTCCAATCCCCACTGCATTCTCAAATATGGTAACAATTTTTTCTTGGTCAAAGAAAGACATGGAAAAGATACACGACCCCCGCCTTTAGGGATTTTGTCCATCCCGAGGGTCTTGTCCGTATAGTCACTGCCTGCTGCAGAATGCTGTTGGTACTGCTCAAACAGTATGGGGCTCCTGATGAACCATGGGCTGATGCCATTGGTCAAAAACAGCTTCTAACATGTATATCCAAGGGTCTCCGGATGGAGTATCACAGTTACCTTCAGCACTTTTGAATCTCTTTTCTCAGCCCTAGAATGGCTCCCGTATCTCTAGTACCTCCCACTGGAGAGACCAAACATGTCCATCTTACTGGTTTTTCTCTACTCCTCTTCCTTTGGGGGACCTCTGGGTTATTTCCAAGCCATTTCTCATATGCAGTATTATCCAAGAGAATCTGGGAAAAGAAATTTAACTTGGGGTAAATCTCTACTTTTGGAAGGAATTATTGGATGTGGTAGAACCTTTGAAGACAGTCATCAAAACTCCATAATATAAGTTATGATTTTATTCTCTAAGAGGCATCTAGATCAAAAGGGTTCGCTTTCTCTAGAACTCTGTTGGAAGCAGATCCAGGTAATTTGATCATTATTTGTTCTTTAATCGACGTATAAATGTCCATACCTTGAAAAGTTTGTTCAGTACTTTATCTGGGGTAAAAATCTGCCAAGTACACTTCCAAGCCCATATCAGCCGTTACGCAAAGAGGGCAGATCACACGTGATCATTCCTCTTTACGTGGATGGAAACATGTCTGCTGAGCCTATGCTCGCTCTCCACACTAAACTGGTTGGGTTGACAGACATACCAACTCATCAACGCCTTTCCTAGGAAAGCTAAGCCACAAATCTCTGTCTTGGTTCTTCAGTTGCTTTTACTGCTGTGGCGGTAGAGACTGGAATGTCTCCTACAGGGAAACCAATAGCAGTGGAGAACCAGTGTCAGAGTCATCCGGATTTAGAGGAGAATGTCCCAGTAACCCCTGGGTCCACGCGGACACTTCCCTCATTCTTTGATGTATGTTTATTGTTGAGCACTGTTCAGGGACCACTATAAGGCTAGGCACTGTTAACGGCACACATGGACAGAATAACTTACAGAAAAAAAAAAAAACTAAGTTCATAAAATAAAATTAGCATAAATATAGACTAGTAATGTTTCAAACAATTGTTACCTCAAGTATCGACGTGTCCAATCCTCCTCACAATCTTAACATTAATTACAAGTGGGGTTGACTAATTGTGATAATATAGACAAGGAGAGTCGGACTGAGAGACACAGGCGGTCTTCTCTGGAGCCCACACTACTGTCTATGTGTTCCTGTGCCCCTCCTGTACTGCAATAGAGGTTGTCCGTATTCTTGCCTGGAAATGCTGTACACAGTAGGTGGAGACGATATGGCATCTCCAGAAATTCTCGCGAAGTCCTAACCCTCGTGTCGAGCATCGAATGGCATGCAGGACTTAGACCTGTAGAAGTCTAGGAAGCATACACCAAGCTGCAGGGGTCAGAATGGGATGAACTTGGCCATGGAGATGCACAGAGCCTTCCTAGCTGGAAAGTCTATGGTCAGAAAGTGGAAGTTTCCACACTTAGAGTTGACCTTATACTGCAAGGCTCTGAAGACCATCGCAGAACCATTAGGTTTTATTAATAGGAAAATTCGCTTTGTAGTGTACTTTTGCTCTTTTGAAACCCACTCCCGTTGGCTTATTTTTGAGGCTGTAATTTAATTACAAGTCTCCCTTTCTGTCCCTCTCTCCCAACTCTCTCATACACCCCTTCCCACGCTCCATCAATTCCTGGCCTTTTTTTCATTGATTGTTGTTGATCCCAGTTTCACTCGATTGCCTGTAGTTCTGTGTGAAAGGCTTAGGCCTCATGGCCTTTTCCCTGTCCAGTTTGGAAACCCATCTTTTAAAATAGCCAGAGTATTTACATGGTTGAAGAACAGAGACATTAAAAATTACCCAGCATATCTCTCCCTGCTGTTCCTATACCCAGTCTTGGGTTCTGCCCTGCCCTGAGGTAACTGTTATCTACAGGCTTAGGTCCTTCAAGAAATTCTTGTTCTAATGGAAGGGATACTTTATAAACTAGGGATCAAGTCACACCCTTTCCTTCTGCACACATTGAAGCTCCGTTCTGTTTGTTAGTATTTCATGGCCCTCATAGGAAGCTTGGGGGGATTTTTCTCAACTCCCCATGATTTGCCGAGAGCCTGTGGGATAGGTAAGTTGATCGAGAGTTTCAGGTTTGAGGGTCTGCCGCTCTGTGAGCTTTCAACATAAAATTAAAAGAGAAAAATTAAATCAAGCTACCGAAGTGGCTTTTTTCTCATAATGCATGACATAGAATAAAAATGATGAGGAGACATTAGGGAAGGGAGTGGCCAAAGCAGGTGGACTTTAGCATAGGTTAGAAATTAACCAAGTGTAACGTCTGGATCTATATGGTGTAGCTAACACTAGGGTGCAAGCTCTGGCCTGTTTACTCTTACTGTTGTTGCTTTGCTTTATTTTGTTCCATTTCTTCTTTGAAGTGCTGAGCAATCAAACCTAGGACCTCATACCTGCTAGTCCAGCAAGGCCAGTGCTCCACCGCTCAGTTATTCCTAGCCTGTTTGTAAAGTCATGCTTTATGGGAACACAGCTATCCTTTTATTTATTTATTTATTTATTTTTGGTCTATGGATGCTTTTGCTCTGCAATGATAGACTTGAGTTGTGACAGAAAATATATAGCCTGTAAAATAGGAAGCATTTCCTGTCTAGTCCTTTGTGGGTCAAAGTTCCTAGCCTCTGCTCCAGTTGAGATGCTAGATAGAGGGACTTTGTTTTATCGGTGAGATAAAGTGAAATGCCAAGGATTTCAGACAGTAATCATACATATAGATTAGAAATCTATTCATTAGATCCACAGCAGCACTCCTGGGTTCATAAATGAACGGTGGATGATTTTCATGACCGCGTGGGAAACAGCCACTTGTCTAGCAGGGGGTGGGGGAGATGAGATTCTTGGATCTCCTGTAACAGCTGAGTGATTCCCAGAAGAGCAGCCCTGGGTGGCATTGCAGTGAAGACATCCTGATAAGCGTTCTCTGACATTGTCCAAGGTCCAAGGTCTGCTTCTCACACCCCAAGGCTCGGGATGGCTGGCGCCGTCCTGGAGAACGCACCTTTCAGTTGGACGTCTGCACATCTTAGATAGGTCCGTTTCTCCACACAGGCACAAATATCTTCAAACAGCAGATTATGGTATCTCGGCTATAGTTAAATGGCTCAGCTGTTGTTCTGTCTTGTTCGGGAAGGCATCTATAAACCAGTTTTAAGAACTTTGCTTGCCAGCTGGGGATGTCATCGCTCGTAAATTATTTTGGATCCAGGGCAGCAAATACCCAGTTCAGTGCTTGCTCTTGGTCACTGGGCTGCATGAAATCGTCACCCTGTCTGCACAAGGGCAGCTGTCATTGCGCTCCGAGATGAAGCTGGGAAGTGGTGGGTTGAGCGTCTTGTGGGTGTCGGAGAGTGGATTTAGGTGGCGCTGGCTTTAACACTGATTTCCCACAGTAAGATGGGCACAGACAGACCAACCCATTCGAACTTCATTTTGGGTATGTGCTGTTACATCCACGACAACACCCTGATGGTGGCCGTCTTAGCGTAGCCATTTTGTTGTCTTTCCTTTCTGGTTTCCCTGTGTTGTGGCTACGCAAACCACACAACGGAAGTTGCTGTTTTAACCATTTGAGGTATGCAGTTCAGTAGTGTTGGGTGAAACAGCTCTTGAGAGCGTTTTCCTCTCGCAAATCTGAAACTCTGTGCAGAGGTTCTCAGCCCTGCTAATGCTGCGGCCCTGTAATATGGTTCCTTGTGCTGTCCCAACAACGCAGCCTGAGGAAGAGGGGTTTGTTTGGGTGCACACTCAGAAGGGACACAGTCCATGACGGCTGGGAAGGCACGGCAACAGGCAGCTTCGTGGCGGGGGCTCATGTGACAGGGACTCTTTTTTCAGATCCCAACAGAGCAGGGAGCAGACTGGGAGCTAGACGTGTAGAACTAGATCATCTTCAGGACCCACCCCAGACACTCATTTCCTGCAGCAAGGAAGGCTCTACCTCCTAAAAGCTGTGAGACCAAAGCAGCCATCAGCTGGTGACCAGGAGCCGACGGGGGCCATTTCACACGGAAGCTGTAAGAGCAACCCACTGGTTCTCATGTTAGTGAGAATGAACGCTCCTAGGTGTTGGCGGTGATGTCTAGTAAGAAGGCACAGGGACAGGCTGGCACTGGGTTCTGCTTCTCCCTGCTGTTCCGTTCAGTGACTGTCTTGCACTAGCTTCTTCCTCCCCCAGTTCCAGTGTCCCTCATGTCCCTTGTCTCTGCATTTGCCCTCTTCTTTCCGCCTTCTGAGAAAGGAAGTGTGAGAGGCAGACAGCTTTCTTCTATGGATGTGAAAGTTTCACAGATTCCGTCTGCTCAGAGGGTCCGGATCTCAAGGGCATCTCAGAAATGGACCTGCGCGTGTTTCCTGCTGGGAGAGGAAATGTGTGTTGTCCCCTGCTGTTTAGAACAGCTCCTTAAAAGGACGGGGCTTGAAAGTAGGAAGGAAAGGGGCCAGAGAGGGAATGCGAATGCCAAATGTTTGCACAGCAAAGCTACGAAAGAAATCTGTTTAATGAACACAGGGGTAACTGAATGAAAGAACGAGTGAATGTTTAATTAAATTTAAACTTCTTCTAGGCGAGGGCTGCAAACTAAACTGACTCTAAGAGACCAGGTGGGTGAGGCAAAGCGGCCGTGTAGGATGCATAGATGACATATAGGACGTATAAGCGATATATAGGATATATAAATAAATATAAATAAATGCATAAACCAGCAGACTGATTCAACT